TATATATTTTAGATTTTATTTATTTGAGAGAGACAGATAGTGACAGAGCTAGTGAGAGAGAGCACAAGCTGGGAGGAGAGGGAGAAGCAGGCTTCCTGTGGAGCAGGGAGCCTGATGTGGGACTCGATCCCAGGACCCTGGGATCATGACCTGAGCCGAAGGCAGACGCTTAACTGACTGAGTCACCCAGGCGCCCCGGATTCTGGATATATTTTAATGATAAGAGTTAGTAGGATTTGCAGGTGGATTAGATAAAGGTTGTGAGAGTGACAAGTCAAGAATGATACCAAGGTTTTGGCCTCTTTGGCTTGAGCTCCTGGAAGATTAGAGTTGCCATTAACTGAGATGAAGATGGTTATGAAAGGAGCAGGGTTTTGGACATAGTAAGTTTGAGATGGCCACTAGACATCCAAGTGGGGATGTTGAGTAGGTGGTTGGATAAAAGAGTCTGGAGTTCATGGGAAAAATCTGCGATGGAGATAAATATCTGAGAATCATTAGTGAATTAAATGTATTTAAACCACAGGATCAGAGGAGATCAGCAGTGAAACAGGTGTTGATAGACAAGGTTGGAGACCTAAGCCAGAGTCCAGGGCAGTCTCAGCTTGGTGAGATGAGGAAGCAGCACAGGAGACTGAGAAGGACCACAAAGAATAAGAAGTGCAGCGTGGTGTGGTAAGTTACAGTGAATGCAGTGGGCGTGGGTCTCTTAACTCGATGTGATTTTGGGCAAAATTTCTTTATTGGTTTGTTTGTTCAGCCACCTGCCTGTCTTTCCCATATGGCTTGCATATCTGCATAGTGCCAAGCACTATTTTAAGTAGCAGCCAGGGCAATACATAAATACATTTTAGTTGTTGGGAGAGAACAGTAGATAGTAAGAAAACAAGAAAATATCAGCAATTGTTATCTGTAAAATGGGTATCCGTTCTTCTCATGGTTGTTGTAAAGATTTAATAAGATAATGCTCATGAAGTACTTACCTCAGTGCTTGGGCCGAGAAAGTGCTCAGTGAACATTCCTTGGTGTAATTCGGGTCCCGTCATCTTTGGCCTGGCAACAGTTCTCTGACTGCTGTCTCTGCCACCAGTTGTGTCCCTCTGCTTAATCTTTCCAAAGTGCTCATCTTAATCTTGTCATTTCTCTTTAAAACCCTGGACCTGCTGTGTGCTCTCTTGCTTCTGTGTCTTTGTATATGCTGTTCTGTCTTCTATACTGCCCATCTCCTGCCTAATTTTTTCCCCTGATTCCTTTTTATCCTTCATATATTCTTTGAGATAACCCTTCTGCTGAAGGTCTGCCCAGTCCTCTCATAGTGCCCTCTTTTCTCTGCCATGACTTTCGGCGCCCTGTGTTGTTTACTTACTGGAGTCCCTCATTAGATCGGAAGCTCCCTGAAGCCAGGTCTATGTCTTTTACACCACAGTCTAACATAAGGCTGGCTCCAGTTGGAGTCTCAATAAATATTTGTTGAATGACTGAAATTCTTGTATGTATGCTTGCATGCCCATAGCGCATTCTGTTCTCCCTCTGCACTAGGATATCAATAGGCTAATTAAGAAGTAGCACGTCACCAGCATTTTCTTTATCTTTCTGTTTTAGTTTGGCATTTTACTGTGAAGCATCATTAGAGGAAGGTAAAACTTCACTTGAATAAAAAGATTTGCTTCTAGATTATATGAAATGAATAAACATGTCCCTAAAGTGTTTAAGTTGGCAAGTACGGCAATCTGTTATTCAACATTATGTTATTATAATTTACTTACCGACCTTTAGAGGAGGAAATGATTTTCGAATAATTCTTGGTCTCTGAAGATTGTCCCTTGAATAGATTTCCTTGCTCATAACCCCTCCCCTTAAAACTATAGAGATACTATACAGTTATTAAATGCCTGAATTAGAATATCAGCTGCTGTGAGCTTAACCATAGAATTATTGTGTAGTTGTGTATATTCACGGGGAAGGGGCAGAAAAATGTGCATCAAACGTGGGACTCATCAGAGACCATGTCTTTGAAGTTATTTGGCATCAACAGCGTATTATTTCTAAGTCAGATGATGTAAGAAGACCAAAACTTGGGAAATTTTCATTTAAATTATGATTCAGGAAAATGAGCTGCTGGTGTTCATTCTAAATTCATTTATGAGGTCAGGCCTTCAGAACTGGGAATACTGCTTATCACAGAGAAGCGAACAGAAAATGTGCCTCTGTAATTTCCCATCACCCAGGGCTAGAGCAAGTAACTAGAGAGAGCATACCAGGCCCAAGTTTGGGTGGGGTGGTTCTGAGCAACTGATCAAACTGGAAAACACCCAGTAGCTGAATGAAGCCTCCTGCTTAGTACAAGGTCTCTTGTGGGGAGCGGGAGCTCACCTTCTCACCATCCATTCAAATCTTCATTGCCTCCCCACTCGGGACTGCCCAGTCCTTATTGTCTTCACAGTACTTGAGTGGATTTGCAGACTTTGCAGTCCTAGCTTAGAGAGGAAGAACTACACCCCAGGCAGTTAATCGGTGAGAAAGCCAGTGCCACAGTCCAAATCTGATTTTCTTTTCTTTATAGAGAGACCAGACCCATTGGGCTACAAGTTGAATGTCAGTTTCAATTGGAAGTGGAATCCTCCTGGGTTTATGGCAGATGAACACCAGTCTAGGGGTCAAGGCTTGGGTTTTAGCAGCTGGGGAAGATTTTGGAGATCTATGTTTCTCATCTCTGATTCATCTTCAATTAGCAGTGATTCTAAACCCCTCACCTTGTGTTTATTTGCCCCACTCTGTCAAATAACTTTCTGAGATGTAACAAATCCTTTTTAGGAGGAAGGAAGGAGGAGCTATTAGTTTTTAGTTATTTAATTGAATCCTCACAACAAGGCTGCAAGGTATTATCTCTGTTGTCTAGATGTGGAAACTGGTGCAGAGAGGTTAAGTCACCAGAGCCCCACAGCAAAGTGGTGGAGCTGGGGTTTTGGTCCATGCAGTTGGCTGCCTCACTGAAGGCCCTGGGTGAGAGGATCCAAGAGCATCATTTCAGTTACGCACTTTAATTCATTATTCATTTCATTCATTCACATCATGTGTCACGACTGATCCTAAGTCCTGAGCTGTCGGAGGTGGTCCCTGCTCTTGAAGAGCTTCTACTTTTGGTATTCTGGTTAGCCCATCTCTGTGCCTGTAGGGATTGCTCTTTGAAAAAAGCAGCACGGTCCATTCTGATAGCCAAATGGATGGCAGAGGTTGGGGGATGTTTTGGGTTTGCCAGCACTTGGCTACTACCCAAAACATCTACTACCCAGCCTGGTCTCAAGTCTCAGATGATTCAAGCATTGAACAGGGAAGGTGGCAGCCTTAGGGCCTGCCCCCTGGAGATGCTTATTTCTCCTTTGAAACTCTTAGGGGGTTCATTTGAGATTGGCGGCAGCCCTGGGGTTAATGGATCCACGTGCCTTCTTCTGCCACCTGATTTCATATCCTTTTCTCCTTTTCCTTCCATTTGAAATGGTGTAACCTCACAGAGCCTCTGTTTCCTTGTTTGTCAAATAGGGACCACAACACTTGATTGCAGTTTTTTATGAGGCTTGAAAGATGTCAAGCATCCGATACAGGCTCAATAGCATTATTATCTTTTGTTTCAGTTATAAACTTCCATTCCTTTGCTGCCCATGTTTCCATGGTTTACAAAGTGGGAACCTGTGACTTTTGCTTTCTCCGGGCATCCTTTTCTACCTTATGGTAGATCTATCTTCTTGGCTGTTAGCTCCCAGGAGTCAGACTTTGTTCAGCAGGAAAGCTGTCATCTGCTTTCTTTTGAGCCGTCTGAAACTTTCCTCTTTTTGGGATATGCATGCACCCATGAGTAATGGAGGATTGGGATTGAGAATGGAGAAAAGACCTTGGGCTTACTGCTTGGGCTGGCACTTGGGAGTATGGTAGAACTC